GGTAAATATAGTAAATAATTATCTAACCTAGAAAATTAAGCATTTGTAGTAAATGTTATATATGAAAAAATATAGACTATTCATTAATAAAAATTACAGCATATGAGCACAAATCTTGAACTTGTATGTATGAATCAATATTCACTACGGTTTCCTAGAAAAATGATTGGTCGTCTTTTTGCATCAAATATGTCTGTAAAAATCTATTGATCAAACAAGTTGTAATATGTTTTGCTTTTACCGAAACATCTACATCATCTCAGCAGAGGTGTTGGAATGCATCTTTTTGTTTATTTCATTAGAACATAAGAAGAGATAATTGATGTTTGATTCTATTTTTGTCTCACTCTATTTATCATTTTACTGTGATTTTTATCTTTTACATCAATTCATTGGTGAAGTGATTTTGTTTTTCTGGATTTACAATTTGTAATGGAGTAAAGTTTTCTTTCGAAAATTTTGGTTAGAAACGTTATTTTGTCCAACACAAATTGTTTCAATTACATTATAGGTGATTGGTAAATTGGCTTTAAAATCTATGAAAGCATTTAAAAACGTTTAAATTCTAAATTTCTCCAATCAGACTTGTTGAATTTAACAGTCATAAAAATTCTAAAATCATTTTTTAATTTTCTCACATCAATTTTTTTTTTTGTTTTCATGTTATGTTGCTTATTATTAAAGCTTTTCGTTTGTGATTTTGTTTTTAAATCACAGTTATCTATATAAAAAGCAAAAAAAAAAGTTTTTTGTATAAGTTATTGTTGGATTTGATAAATAAAATGTATATTTTCTATGCATAAATTTACATAATAATTACATAAATATACACAAAACACTTAATTGTAATTGTTAGAATTAATTTACATAAGAATGAGCTATTAAATTGTTAGAATTAATTGCTAAAGTTATGAAAAGACGCTTAATTTTTCTGATCTTTTCAATCAATAAATTTAAAAACCAAATGTCAAAAAATTAGATGACACATGTCAGTCTCTTATGGTTTGAATTTTGAGAAACCTTACTATATTATTTAAGAAAAAATGTTGAATTTGATAAATAAAATATCTATTTTCTATACATAAATTTACATAAAAATTATATTATAATTTACATAAAAATTAATAAATGTCAAAAAACTTAATTGTAACTTGTTAGAATTAATTTACATAAGAATTAGTTATTAAATTGTTAGAATTATTGCTAAAGTTATTAAAAGACATTTAATTTGTTTTTTTTTAATAAATAAATTAAAAAGACAAATGTCAAAAAATTAGATGGCACATGGCCTCTCATGTCTTCAATTTTGAAAAACTTTACTATATTATATAAGATGATCGCAATGGATTTGTTCTGCTGTCTTCGTTTTCCTTAATGAATTTGCGATTAGAATTGCTCTTACTCTATGGAATTATCTCAAAGAAAAATCATATTTGGTTTTACGTAATAATTCATCAAAGTAGTGGGATAACAATTAGAAAGTTGCACAAGCTATATTGAATTTCAACAATCCATAATCCAAAGGTCACACCTTGGCATAGTCTTTCCAGACTCTACGTGCAATCTGATGACCTCCTAATCGAAAGCTTTGAACTTGATTTTCCCGATACTAAGCTCTTCCGATGTCGGCTGATGCTGGACCAGTCTCTGAAACCAAAAATCAGACGATGATCGGAAAGCTTTAACCTTTGTTCGATCTTACTAAGTAACAAAGACAAGCTGATTTGATCGAAAACGAAGACGAACCTCGTCTTTTAACATGTGAAGCAAGGTGGTTTTTCCGGCGTTGTCGAGACCCAGAAACAGAATCTTCGCTTCCTTTTTCCATGATCCGAGAGATGCGAGAACTCCATAGAACCAATCAACGAGGAACATTTCTTCTTCTTCTCGAGAGAGTTTTGTAAATCAAGATTAAATAGAAAAAGGCAACAACTTCTACGGCGATTGAAACGGCGTCGTTTTATCTGGAGGGAGTTTTGTAAATAATAGAGAGTATCGGGGCTTTTGTATGATTAAACTCTTTTGGTGAAAACGGTTTCGTTTTAGCATCAGGCTGAGTATTCAAATTTATCGATTTGTGGTACTATTTCTCTCCATTTTTGTTTGGCTTTTCGATTCTTTTTTAACCCAATAGCTTATGAATAGTATAGTCTTGGAGTCATGAGTTTGTGGGATAATATGAAATATCCTAAATAGATGCATGATAATACAAAATCTGAGACGAAATAATTAACTCTTACTAAATCAGAAAATGAATTAAAGAAAAAAAAATCAACTTCTCTATTTACCTTAATCTTGCATTATTTATAGGTTATATGTCACTTTAACAAAAAAAAAAAAAAGGTATATGTCATCACTTCTTAATTACTAGAAAACTAAATATGAATATAGCTCAATTTCGTATTATAAATGTTTATATGGTTGAATTGTTCTATTAGCGATACTTGCGATTTACATCTTCGAATTACTTTTAATAATTTCTCTAACACCGCTAGAAAGTCAACACTCAAACTAAATATATTGTTCCCAAAATGATTTTGAAAAGGTAATGTAGCACATAATCCTTTTCCCAAGATACAAAAGACAAATTCAAACAAAACAAAGCAAATATTTTTGTTCAAACTACATAAACAGAAAAATAAGACATATATTTCATTTGATAGAACGAGAGGCAGCAAGAACAATAGTCGCGATTGTCCCCACGCCATATTTGGCGACATCATACTTCGCCGAAGCAAGAAGGCCACGTAGATCGTGGATTTCCTGCATCACAAAAAAAAACATGAAGTAAATTCAAACCATTTAAAAGACAAGGAAATGTGATAATAGCCTAAGTACAAGATAGAGATTATACGATTAATACCGATTTGACAATTCTGCAATTGTCGTTGCTGTTACGACGAAGCTCGAGCTCCGAAGTAACGATCGTGACAAATGTATCCATCTTCAAACGATCAACATCTAATGCTTTCGAATCAAATGAATTCTTCAGTTTTTCCATTTCATGCCCAATCTCCTTGGAATGTTGCTCCTATAAGGTTCTATCAAGTAAATCCAAATCAACCAAAGGAAAGAGAGTGTGATCAATATCAAGTAAACCGTATAGAGCCTAAGTAAACAGAATAAAGATCTTCCATTTCCATATGGTAACTCTCTTCCCTTGCAAAAAATGGCAATCCACTATTATAATGGTAACTCTCTTTCCATTTCCATTTGAAAGGCCCGATTTTACTATAATGGCAATCCACTATCATCATTTTTTGCTTCTTTTCACAGAGAGTTTAGAAGCAAATGTATAGTTTCAAGATTTTCGTACGGTTAAAGCCCATTTGGCCGATAATATTAATTAGTGTTCAAACAATAATTTCAAACGTAAAAAAAACTCTTATGATTCATTTAATTATATGAATAAACTTTTACCATTAGATTAACTTTAATGGTGCATTATAACCTTGATAAAAATAAATTTGGAAAACTAGTTGATGAATATCCGCGATATTATAATTTTTAAAACAATATTTCGTTATTTAGCTAATTTCAAAATCCGCCACAAACTAACATTATATAAAATCTGGAAAAATCCATTAATTCAATTTTTTCGCCATTACTTTTTAAATCTCTTAATATTGCATACGAAGATTGATTCAAATTTTACATCAATTGCTTTGAAACATAGACAATAATAAGAATTCTGATCTCAATTATTTTGTGGTTGCTTCTTCACGATAATCACCGGACACTTGACTCGTTTGGCACAATAGTCGCTCACGCTTCCTAGCAAAGCCCTATATCAATGAAACATACAAATTAAATCAATATCAATAACAATTAACTCAAAAATATGTGTTTCATATTAATAATAAAAAGAATGAAGCATTAATCACCTTTTGAAGAAACCGTAGTCATGTGTGCCAATTACTAACATATCAGCTCTAAGTTTCTCAACTGCGTTGCATATAACTTCCTTAGCATCTCCTCTTCCAACTCTTCTCTCTATATTAATCTACACATTAACAATAACTTTATTTACTTCAGCTTCATATCACTTACACTAATATGTTGTCTTACAATCGTCAATTTTTTAATATTTCGAAACTAATTGTCAATGAATATAAATGAACTTATGACTACTAAAATCATTAAATTCCAACAAATAGGAATAAGGTTACATCGGACTCAAAATTATGGTACAGGGTATGAGATCGGGCCAAGACCGATTCTGCGAGCTCGTGTTCATATTTTTTCAAGGCTGCAACCGGATCTCCGGTCACTATAAACCCTGAAAATCGACCAAACAAAAATTTATAACTTGAACGATTCATTAGGGTAGCTGATCAAAAAGATATTGCGAAATGACGAGACTAACCTGCGGCATCAAGGGAAGAGTAAACGGAAAGAGAAGGCTTGACGTAGAGGAGAATGAGGGTATTATTGGAACCGTATGGAAAAAGATTGTCAAGACTCCATGAAAGAGCTTCCATGCTCTCTTCACTTTCGTCTACTGCGACTACAATTTTTCTCTCCTTTGTTTCCTCCATTTCCTTATCGTTCTTTATTAAAGAAAAAAAAACTGTTTTGTTTTGCTTTCGGTTGTTAGAGAAGAAATATCTAATGAAGAAAGCTTGATGGAAAAAGAGATTGAGATTGTGTTTGTATTTATAATTTTATACAAGTAGCTAGACCAAACCCACTTGATTTTAGGTTTTGGAGTTCAGTGTTTTAATTTATATAATCCATGATATATACAAAAGGCTTACTCATCCCTTCCTATTGACTATTTCATAATTGCGAAATCTTGTGTTATAATTTCTTTTTAAAATGTAAAGATAAGGTATAAGCCAATGTATGATTGTTAACCAATTATTTTCAG